TTTTGTGTGGGGAAGAGTGGAATGGACGAGAGAGAGAGGGAGAAGGACATTTTGTGTGGGGAAGAGTGGAATGGACGAGAGAGAGAGGGAGAAGGACATTTTGTGTGGGGAAGAGTGGAATGGACGAGAGAGAGAGGGAGAAGGACATTTTGTGTGGGGAAGAGTGGAATGGACGAGAGAGAGAGGGAGAAGGACATTTTGTGTGGGGAAGAGTGGAATGGACGAGAGAGAGAGGGAGAAGGACATTTTGTGTGGGGAAGAGTGGAATGGACGAGAGAGAGAGGGAGAAGGACATTTTGTGTGGGGAAGAGTGGAATGGACGAGAGAGAGAGGGAGAAGGACATTTTGTGTGGGGAAGAGTGGAATGGACGAGAGAGAGAGGGAGAAGGACATTTTGTGTGGGGAAGAGTGGAATGGACGAGAGAGAGAGGGAGAAGGCGAAATGCGGTGTGATGGGAGAGAGCAATGCGGTGTGATGGGAGAGAGCAATGCGGTGTGATGGGAGAGAGCAATGCGGTGTGATGGGAGAGAGCAATGCGGTGTGATGGGAGAGAGCGATGTGGTGTTGTGGGAGAGAGCGATGTGGTGTTGTGGGTGAGAAGTGCAGATGATTGAGAAACGGCAAGTGAACCTTGCAGATGACATGGAGGGGGCAAGCGAACCTTGCAGATGACATGGAGGGGGCAAGCGAACCTTGCAGATGACATGGAGGGGGCAAGCGTACCCTGCAGATGACATGGAGGGGGCAAGCGAACCTTGCAGATGACATGGAGGGGGCAAGCGTACCTTGCAGATGACACCGAGGAAGCCGGTGGTGATGACGACACCCGGCACTGCGAGCAGGAAGATCTGCACCATGCACCGCTGCCAGGGGGGACAGGGGGATAGCAGGGGGAGAAACCCGAGGGCGGGGAAGGGGAGAAGGATGAATGAGCGTGTTGCGCGGAGGCAGCATTGCGAGCAGGCAGCAGAGCACGGGAGACGCACCTTGATCTGGTGCAGCTCGAAGGCGAAGGCGCTTTCGAACAGCAGCGCGGGCAGGAAGACGAAGAAGATTATGTTCGGCTCTATTGCCGCCCCTGCGCGCCGCATGGGGGACGGGGAGAGCCGTGGGGCAGGCAGGGGCGGGGGGAGGGAGGGAGGGAGCGAACAAGGGAGAGAGGGAGGGAGGCGAGGGTGGATGGGAGGGTAGCGGTGGAAGGCGGGGGGTGGCCAGAGGGAACAGCGACAGGTGACGAGCGGCGTGAGAGGAATTGGAGCTGAGAGCGAGCATCGTCAAATGAGGCGAGTGCGCACGGGGTGGGGGGGGCGCGGGGCGAGTGAGGGTGCGCGGAGGGGCGGAACGTACACATGCGGATGCTGTCACCGAGCAGCCCCAGGTCCACGTAGAACTCTGCGCGTGGGGGTGTGGCGGGGGGGAGGGGGAAAGGGGGGAAGAGGGGAGAGAGACGGCGGTAGGCCCAGAGGCAAGTCCACAGCGTGAGCGCGAGCGAATATGGGGGGGAGAAGAGGAGAAACTAGGCCTCGTGCTACGGCCAGCTAAAAAAGCGCGCCGCTGCTGCAGCGATCCACGGCCGCCATTGATAGCCAAGCGACAACGCGGCCGCTGCTGCTGCTGCGCGCAAGGGGAAGGTCGCGCCAGGCGCGCAGCACCCCTATCGGCCGAGCGGTCAGTGGACGGTACTAGCGCGCTCTCTGAATAGCCTGCTGGCGTGCCCCTCGCGCCAACGAGCCTACGAGCGACGCTCACCAAACGCGCCGAGCGCGATGCCGACGAGCAGCAGCGCGACAGTGTACGGCACGCGCGTGTTGTTGAAGATCTGGCGGCACAGCGCGCCGAGCGCCAGCGACACGGCCATGAACAGCAGCGCCACCTCCCCGCCCGGCACGTAACTCGCCGCACCCATGGCGCCCGCGGCTCTCGCGCCGTTCGGAACACGCGAGTGGGATTTGCGCGGCAAGGGGTAGCGCAGGGGTGAATTGGAGAGCGCCTCTACGCCGCCCTATGGGCTAATTGCGCGACCGACGGAGTCAGAAAGGCTCATAACGTTAGTGCGTGAACATGGACGCGTAATTGCGGCGACAGAAGAAGTGTCTCGGTGGAGAATGGGATGGGAGAATGAAAAGTGACGAGGGTGGCATAGCAGATGCAGCAGCGCAGCATGCAGTGACGTGAGGTGGATGCAATGACCTTTCTCTCCTCTGGCGCTTTGCACGGCTCGGCTCGGAATGGGCAAGTGGAGATGAGAGAAAGTGGCCGCCACCACATGAGCCTGCCCACCATTTGATTTCACCATCTTTTCGTAATACTGTAGCTCAATGCCCCATGACAACGATTTGCGTAGTGGTGTACTTTGGGTAAAGGAGGTTTATTCAAACAAAAAACTGCCCTGCACAAAAATTCTCGTTGCCCGAATGACTTCGAGAACAAGCAGCAGCGAGTGGTTGAGGTTCGTTGAATGTAGGGCGTCCAGGCAATGTCCTGTGAAAGACTGCCAACGCATCAGTTGCCCTTTGGCCTTAGGCTTGTTTGCGAGATCATTGGCTGACGACCACGATCGCTTGTCCTGCTTTCCACGTCACTCTCCGTTCATCCAACCAAAGCAATCGCTAACTTCAGCTGCAAAGTGGTACTGTAGTGTAGGGCGAGATCTGAATTAAACAACTTGCATGTACAGATATTACAGCTTCACCTGAAAGAAGGTTTTCGCATAGTATCGAGCTTACCAATAACGGAACACACTTCCCCTTTTCCCCTTTCCTTCCGCACAGCACAACAGCACAGCCATGGCACTCACTCGCCGCCTTACCTCGCCGGGCGACCTACGCGCGTGTCTCGGCGCAGTCTACCGCGCGTTTTCCACCCTCATCCCCTCCGCCCATCCGTTCCCCTCCCCGCACGCTCTCCCAAATGCGCCAAATTGCGCCGCGTCCTCGCGATCCGATCAGCCAACCCTTCCATGCACCGCATACGATCTCGAGCAGCAGGGAAGCGCAGCTGAGCCGTTGATTCACCCTGCTATCCCCGTCGCTTCCGGCCCTTCCGTTTTAGCCCCGACCCATTCACGATTGACGCCAGACGATGCGAATCGATTTGCGGTTATGGCGGTCCCTAAGAGGAAGGTACGCAGCAGTTTCCTCTGACTCGTGGTTGCAAGCAGTCATGTTGCATCGTCCATCCGACCGTGCATGCCTGCGTGTGCCTCCCGCCCCTCACGCCATCACGTGCAGGTGACGCCGTCGCGGAAGGGCATCAGGAATGGACCCAAGGCGCTCAAGGCCGTGCCAGTGGTGGTGAGATGCCTGTGAGTGCAGCAGCTATTCACTTCCTTCCATGCATGGCACTCGTCCCTTTGCACTGAAGTGTCTCCCACCATTCCCCACCATACCACGCCCCCTCATGCCAACTCATTGCGTCCTTCCCCCTCAGGAGTTGCGGGTGTGTGAAGCTGCAGCACCAGTACTGCTGCAAGGACGGCGACAGACACCGCCAGCCAGCTTCGGAGTAGGGCTGTGCTCCGACAGCAAGCTAGCTTTTAGATGGCAGTTGAAGCAATCATGGGCAGCAGGTGAAGGCTTTATGCCACCAGCTCTGAGATTTTGGTTTGCCTATAGCAAAGTCTCTACCCTCCACGCTTGCCCTGAGACCAAGCCCTTGAATAAATATATTACGCTATTGCACAACACAAACAAGCCAGTTCGCCTAGTTGCAGCATCTCTAGTGCTTCATGTGTTTGAGCTACGTCATACTTCCAACCCTAACGGACCGTGCTTGCCAGATCTGCTGCTACCCACTCAGGTTGTTTAGTAATGGTCCTGCTGCAAGCAGTGCACGCAAGCACGTGTGTCAGGAGTCAAACGGGTGGCACCACGTGCTTCGCCTGTCACCGCATGGGCTGGAAGCCAGCAGCGGGCGCTAGGCACGTGGCGCACAGGTCAGCATCTCGGGCGCAGTCCTCGCAGTCTGTTGTGTGCATGCATGGTTCAAGGGGTGACGGCAGGTGGGGGGCAGAGGCACACAGCAAGTACCGGTATGATTGGCACCATGCAGAGGGATGTTTGTGTTACGAGAGCAGACTATGAGCGCGAGGAAGAAGAGTGCTAGGAACAAGAATTTCAGGACACACTGAAGGAGCACACATGGCAAGAAAAGGCAGCGGCAGTGATTGCAAAGCCAAGGTTGCAGAGACTGAGAGCAGTGAAAGATGCTACTGCAGTGGTTCAGGTACACACGTGATGTGTGCAGCACAAGTGCTTAAGGCAAGGCATGGGGAAAGGGAGAAGACGAGGGAGTGAGAGAGGAAATGCGATGAACGGGGAGAGATGCGAGGAAAGCGGGGCACGCATGGTTGCAGGGTGCAACGAGGCGTACAGCACGAGTGGTGGCACGGCAGGGTCTGCGTGGAGATGGGGGCGTCGAAACAATTCTTGCAAAAATAATCCCCCCCGGGGTCCATTTCCATGCCATCGTCATCGCTATCATCAGCATCATCGAGATGATGATGCGGATGATGGGGATGATGATGATGGTCATGGTGAGGGAGGAGGTGATGGAGGCAGTCCTCTACCGGGTCTATCTCTGAGCCGCTCGTGCTGCTGCCCTCCGCCCGCACTCGCATCTGCACTCCACACCGTTGTCACCACGCCGTTCAAGCCACACGGCCCAAGCATGGAGTTGTTGTTGCATCGTTGCATCGCCATGCCACATGCAGGCGAGGAGAGGGGAGGAGCGTGGAGGGGATGGGGTGGGGAGGGGAAGAGCGTACAGCACAGGATAAGGGAAGGTGAGGGAGAGTGAAGCAGCCATGGTCTTAGTGGCAGCTGGCAAAACATGGTGGAGGGATTAGCAGCGTGGCATGGCAGGAGGGGGAAGATTTGAAGGAGGTGAGTGAGGACGGTATGGTCCAAATGCCTCCCTCCGAGTAGCTTCACTCCATGTATTTGTGACTTGTGTGTGTATGCCTGTGAGTGTCAAATAGAGAGGAGACGAGGGACGAACTCTAGTGGACCGGGTTAAAAGGAGCAGGATGAAAGTAGCAGGATGGGAAAAGAGGGGAGACCGGAACAGGAAGGGAGGAGCAGGGAGGGAGAGGGGAGCGGGAGAGCACCTTAGCGACCTCGAGTTTGGTGAGAGCTGTCTCCATGTCCGCCTCCAGAGCCATCAGCTCCCTCAGCGTCAACCCCGCCAGCTGCTCGCCCTGCCACACGTGGAGCCGTGGGGAATGGGGAGGATGTGTGCCACAGAGTGAGGGAGGAAGCAGGAGCGAGAGGGGGAGCTAGGAGGGGGCAGGTGATCTGCCTCTAATTCGACAAAGCTGGGGAAGTGGATGGGTGACGGGGCAGGAGGGAACTACGGCTTTCTGTCAACCCCACACTCCCACCCCTTGCCCTCACCTTTCTACGGGCGAGTTCCTCTTTAAGCACACACGTCTCTCGCTCCACCGCCACCTGCACTCGCACCTCCACCTCCCCACTCGCCCCCTCCCCTCCACGCACCCCCAACCCGCCTGCCGACCCCGCCCTGATCAGCTCCATTGCCCGCTCCGACAGGCTCACCCCGCCCTCACTGCCCCCCTCACTAACCACCCCCTCGCTGCGCACGCTCTCCCCTTTCCGCAGCTCCCCCAGCCACCGCCCGCTGCCCCCAATGCTGCCCGCCAGCTCCGCCATCTCCTCCGCATCCAGCAACCCCCCTCGCCCTGCCGTCCCCCCACCCCCCTCCCTGCCACTGCCCTCACTGTCCTTGACAGACGAGGAGCGACTGCCACCCCCCATGTGGCGGAGCTCGGCCACCAGCACCCACATGGTACTTAGGTCCCTCTCTAGGGCTGCCTCCCTCTGCTGTGCTGCCGCCAGGCTCTGCTGCAACTCGCCCACCTCCCTCTCCCGCACTGCTAGCATCGCATCCTTTTCTGCTTCCAGCCGTGCTGCCACCGCTGCCACCGCTCCCACCGCCCCCTGCTTCCTCATGCCCTCCACTGCACCCTCCCCGCCCTCTCCGCCCTCTCCGCCCTCCCCGCCCTCCCCGCGCTCCACTCCGCCTGCCTCTGCAGCAGCAGCAGTTCGATACGCTGCCAGCTCAGCACGAGCAGCTGCCAACTCAGCCTCCACGAGCTGGTGCTGCTGCCGCTGCTCCTGCCACTGCGCCTCCCTCGCCCTCGCCGCCTCCACCTGCTGCAGCAGCCCGCTCACATCCGCCCGCCCATCCGGCCCGTTCATATACGCCCCGTCCAAAAACGACGCAAGAGATGACGTCCCAGCCGCAGCACCTGACCCATCGGCACCACCACCACCTCCACCAGCAGCACTGGCAGCAGGGGCAGAGCAGGAGGCGGTGAGAGCGAGGGAGCGCGCCCCTGCAAGGTCCTTGGTGAGCTGGTGCTGCTGCTGCCGCAGCATGTCCGCCTCCTGCCTCGCCAGCCTCACCTGCGACCTCAGCTCCTCCAGCTCTCCCGCCCTCACCACCACCATGCCCTCGCCGCCACCCCCTCCCCCCTCGCCCTCCCCTTGCGCTGCTGCGTCCGCCTGCCCCTCCGCCCCGCCGTTCCCCTCCCCCTGCCCCCTGGCAGCGTTGTGGCGAGAGCTGATGGCGCGGGTGAGCTCCACGCGCAGCATGTTCGCCTCCTCCATCAGCTGCTGCACCTGCCGAGTCTGCACACGCACCGGGACGGGGGAGGGGGCGAGACGGGGGACGGGTGAGAGGGTGACGGGTGAGAGGGGGACGGGAGGTGATGGCGCGGGTGAGCTCCACGCGCAGCATGTTCGCCTCCTCCATCAGCTGCTGCACCTGCCGAGTCTGGTGACGCACGACGGGAGGGCGCGAGAGACGGGACGGGTGGGAGGGGGTGAGGAGCGGGAGGGGGTGTGAGGAGAGGTAGAGGCAGACTGTGCGGGTGCGGAAGGGACGAGAAGCATGGCGTAAGGTCCTTTTGGGAAGAGGAAATTCGAGCAGGTTGAGTGGGGGCAGTGGCGCTGGTGGCGCTCACCTTGGCCTTGAGCGAGTCCTGCAGAATGCGGTTGTCTGCACTCACGATCTGACAGGGCCGCCAGCAGGGGGGGACAAGCGCAGAGAGCGGGAGGTGGTAAGGTCACGAAGGACATGAGGGGAATAACCACACGCAAGCAGGCCAGTGCGGAGAGCACAAACAGAGTGTCCATTTGTGAGCACTCTCAAGCCCACCCGCCCAATTGCTTCCACTTGGAATCCACATTTCATATGCGTCTCCCTCACCTCCATGTCAAACGTCTTCTCCCTCACCTCCATGTCAAACGTCTTCTCGCTCAGCACTGCCTTGAGCTTCGCTATTGTCTGCAGCATGTGGGATATCGGTGGCGGAGGAAGGGACGTAGGCACAGCGCATATGCCATGGGGAGTAGGAGATGGGAGGTTTGGGACGAGGGGCATTTGCAATGGTTCGCGGAACAAGGGACAACAGACCTCGACGTTGGGAATTACGCATAGGCAGGGAGGAGCGTGTGGGAAGATGTGTCAGAGGAGGCATGGGGCATGGGGCATACAGAATGGATATTGAGGCATGGGGCATGGAGCAGGGATGTAAGAAATGACTACTATGTCCCTTGGTCCCACCTTGGCCATCTGCTCCTGTGTGGCCGTGTCTGCCTCTGCGCCCACGCCCAGGCCATCAGTGCCCGCGACGGCGCTGGCAGCAGGGGAGGGCTGGTCGCCCTGCCTGCGCCGCATGAACTCCTCCATCTCGCGCAGCTGCTGCTGCTTGCCCGCCAGCTCCACTCGCAGCCTCTGCACCGCCCACGCACGCACAGGGAGGGGCAGGCAAAGAGGAGCCATGGACAAGGGATGGGTATTGAGGAGGGAGAGGCTGGGATACGGAATCCTCACGTCAAGGTCTGGTAAAGGGGGAACCAACGATGAAAACACGTGGGCCCCTTTAACTCTCCACTGCCCCTCTGTCCCCACCCTCGCCTGTCCAGCCTGCTGCTTTGCAGGGCGGTGGACTGACCTCGATTTCTTGCTGCTCCTGCGGTGTGTTCTCGCCCTTGTCGATGAGGCGCCTCAGGTTGGACGTGTGGAATCCCACCTCCGCCGACAGAATCTTCACCTGATAGGGGGGGGGAGGGAGAGGGGAGAGTGGGAATGGATTATAAGTCCTATGTGTCGTGTGAGAACGGTGAATGAGATTATGCTGCGCTGCCATTGAAATTTGGAAGGTAATGTGGAGGACGGCCCACTGACCTGTTCCCTCAGCAGCTCGCACTGGTCCATGAGCGTGGTGCCGCTCTGCTCGTGCCACACACGCAGGGGGGATGGCGGCAGGGGCACGGAGAAGGGAGACAGGGCGAAAGGCAGCAGGGAGAGTGGGTGACGGGTGAGTTAGGTACAAGAGACGGAGAAGAGAACAGAGGGGCCATGCAAAGAAAGAGAAACTTTTCTTGCCGCATCCATCTCAGCAAATCATCCATGCCCTCTCACCGATGGGATTCGCACGCCTGTGATGTGAAACAGCTCCCCCGCCTGTGTAGATGCCCTCACCGTCTCCACACACCGCCCCCCTCCCCCCATCCCCATCCCCATGCCCATCCCTCCCCCCGCCCCCGCCTCGTCGACACTGAGCAGGGACGCGGTGCGCCGCACAGCGCGCATCATCCTGGGCGCCCCCGCCCCCGCCCCCCCTGCGTGCTCCTCTGAGCTGTCTGTGCCGCTGCTGACCCGCGTGAGCCACTGCCCGCTGTCACTGCCTGCTCTGCCCGCGTCCATGGCGCCATCCGTGCCGCGGGCAGTGAGGATAGGGTCCACGTTCTCACTGCCTGACAGCGACGCGTGCAGGCCCCCCTCGCTGTCTCCGTCCTTGCTGCCCGCCCCGTCCTTCTGTTGCGCACAAGGGCAAGCGAAGGGAGAGGGGGAGGGTAGATGAGGTGGGAGAGGAGGGTGGCGGTGAGGGTGGCAGGACAACAGGTAGGTCCTGATGCAGCAATCTCTGCATTCCTTCTCACCCGCCTCAACAATCCCACGAGCTCACGTTCGTTCCTTCCTTCAATCACCACCATCCCCCCTTCTCCTTCTCTTCCACCACCACCCTCCTGGGACACACCTTGGAGCGCAGCCATTTGAGGATCATGGGGCCCCCATCGTCGTCCCCGCCCCCTCCCCCATCTCCACCTGCGCCCGCCCCTCTGGGCGAGGCAGCGCCACTGCCGCTGCCGCCGCTGTACATGCTCACAGAGCGCGACCCTGCTGCGCCCACCGTGCCCCCCAGGCGCTGCAGCTGCAGGTCGTCCCCCGCGCCTCCCCCCGCGCCCATGGCGTCGTCCAGCAGGTCGAAGCCCAGGTCCATGCGCCGCTGCTTCAGGTACGCCAGCTGAGGGATGGGGAGGGACGGGAGGAGCGCATTAGAGACACATCAAGGAGGCATGTGAGGCGCAAGAGAGCTATGAGATTTGCAAGGGGGGCATAAAATTCACTAGGAAAGCACGAGAGTTGGAAGGGAGGCATGCTTGCGGTGCCTTGGAAGCAGTGTAACCAGAATCAGAAATGTACTAGCATAGCAGGGTATGCTGAAGGTATTCAATGAATCTTACGTCCTCCTCGCCGAAGGAGAGGCGGCGGCGCAGGCGGCCGGTGGGAGGGGCGTGCGGGGGGGGGGCGGGCTTGGAGGCGGAGGAGGCCTTGGAGGACACGAGGATGAGCTTGGTGAGGCGCTGTATGCGCGTCATCAGCGCCGCCTTCGCCTCCTCCTCCTCCTCCAACCGCGACTGCAGCAGCATCTGATCCGCCTCCAGCTGCAGGAAGAGAGGGAATGTGGGGGGAACGGCACACCATTTGCAGGGCAGAGAGGAGTTAAGAGGAGGCGGGGTAAGGCGGAGCAGGGGAACGGAGTGGAGGACGAGATTGTGCTGCACACAACGTCAGAGAAAGTGCAGACAGGTGCAACAGCAGTGAGCAGCAGGGGACCAAGCAGAGGCTACCGCCACCAGCTCACCTTCTCTCGCAGCACTGCAAGGTCCTGCCCGCCCATGTCGCCTCCCCCGCCGCCGCCAATGTTGCCGATGCCGGGAGCAGCCCCCCAGGGCAGTGCGGGGGGACCGTGGGACATGTCGTGCCTAAGGCGCGTGAGCTCGTCCTTGAGCGCCATGATCTCCCTCTGATACTTCTTTATCAGCGACTTCTCGTCCAGTATCTGATGCCGCCGCATAGGGGGGACGAGCGAGGGGGTGGAAGGGGGATACACGCATGAATGAGAGGACCACTCGTTGACGAAACCAGAGACTTTTCACCCTGCAAGGACTATTATCGGTGAACAAAAGTTTCTTTCTCATGCGGCCAGCTGAGGCGTAACGGGCGCCGAATGGTAGTGGGCCCCGTGAATGCATCGCATCCCGTGTGTGTGACGTCACCTTGTTGGCGTTGGCGCGGATCTCGACGTGCTTGGCGCGCGAGGCGAACTTGAGCGTGTTGTGCGTCTCCTCCAGCGTGCCCGAGGCGGGGGTGACGGTGCAGATGAGCGAGATGCGCGCATTGCCGCTCAGTGACGTCTGCAGCAGGCGCGTGAGCTTGGAGTCCCTGTACGGCACGTGTGACTGCTTGCGCTCACTCAGCTTCGATATCACCTGCTCCATCACAGCACCACAGCAGCACCGCACACCAAACAGCAACTCAGCACAGTGCCACGGCAGTTGAAGTTCATAAAATCTTCACCCCCATGGCCGACTAGATACCAATGCCCAATCCCAATGCCCGAGGAAAGGACATGCTTTCTCCTACAACCCCCGTGGAGGGCGAGCAAGGTGTGAATGTGTGTGCGTGTGGCATGCAGGCGGCGATGCCGAGGCAGACTGACCATGCCGAGTGTGAGGAGGCTCTTGTTGATGAACGTGCCCTCCCTGCGTGAGAGGAGTGAGGACAACACGACGTGCGTGTGGCATGCAGGCGACCATGGCGGGCCGAACTGACCGTGCCGAGTGTGAGCAGGCTCTTATTGATGAACGTGCCCTCCCTGCGCCGCACGTTGTTGCCCGTCGTGGCTCGGCTGTTCTCCGACCCCGCCAGGTCGATCAGGTTCTGCGCCCCACACACACACGCATACACACACAGGTGCAGTTAGAAGAGAGCAGGATCCAGATGAGGCGCAGACTGAATGCGTAGACTGGAGGCGCAGGAACAAGGCAAGGCAAGCATGTTTTTGGAATAGCATGCACGTGTCCATCAGCATACATCAGTGTGGAGTGGGACAAACGAGGAGTGGAGGGCAGGGGCGCATGGGAGGAGGGAGGACAGCATACCAGCTGCGAGTAGGTGACCTCCTCGTACCCCTCCAAGTCCCGCCCGCTGCTCTCCACAGTCTGCCGCACAACCAGGCATAGGGGGGAAGAATCGGGAGTGAGGGGACGGAAGGCTTTGTAGAGGTTACGAGAAAATCTAGCAGCCGCACTTTGGGCGTAAGGTGCCACCATCTCCAAAAAACAGGTTTTGGGAAGAGAATGAGGGGGAGCAAGAGGTGGGAGGAAGAGGGGGCGAGGGGGAAGGGGAAACGGGGAGCGGGGAGGGGCTTACGAGAGTGAAGATGGTGTGGCTGCGACTGCTGGCCGTGTTGAAGTGCGTGGCGCCCACATGCCGGTGCTCTGCACGCACACAAGAGAGCACACACAAGTGGGTACACACGGGTGAGCAGACACAAGTGAGCTGCACGAGGTGAAATGTGCGCACAGATGCACAGAGAGCAGGTGCACTTAGCAATCGCCCCACGGGATATCGTGAATCCGCATACACAAACGAGCAACACAAACTCGCAAGGGCGGGGGGGAGGAGGAGGAGGAGGCGGAGGAGGAAGGCGGGGAGGAGGGGCTTGCCTTCGCCAGCGGCGATGAGGGAGAGGGCGTGCGCGGCTGACAGCACCACCTCCTCCTTCACGTTCTCCACAAACGTGCCGTGCTGCTCGCGGGGCAGGGAGAGAGAGGGCAGGGCAGGGCAGCACGGCCGGGTGGAGGAGGGCAGGGGATGGCAGGGCAGGGGTTGCTAGGGGAGGGGAGGGGAGGCGTGGCACACACGGAGCAGCGTCAAACGAGTCGCATACTGGTTGGCCTCCCCTTCACTCCCCTCTCCATCCCTCCCCTTCCCACTCTCTCCTCTTTTTCCCCTCTCCCCCCTCGTCTATTCGCCTGTTCCTCTCTTTGTTTTCCCCTTGTGCTCGCCCCCTCCGCTCCTCCCCACATCCTCCCCCTTCCCCCCACCTCCCCCTCGGTCGCGCACCTGACCATCTTCGCGGATGCGCAGGTTCTGCCCGGCGGGGTTGAGCAGGTCGTTGATCACCTGCCGTGCGGCGCGCGCGGGGAGGGCGGATGAGCGACGACATGTCAGGGCGGGCGCGCAACAGGCGCAGGGAAGGGCGGACAGGGTTAATTGTCGATGAAGTGGGCAGCGAGATTAGTAAATCCGCGTGCCAAACATGTATGCATGGCGCAGATGCGTACACGCTGGCCGATGCATGCGTGAATGCGTGACGGCATATGGAAACAAGCCTGTAATGCGCATGGGTGGCGGCGGGTGCATGCGTGCAAGGCAAGGCAGCGCGTTGAGTACCTCGTTGTAGATCTCGAGGTACGACACCCGCAGCAGAAACTCGCGACCAGGCGTCTGTGTGGGGGGGAGGGAGGAGCAACGAAGGGACGGGTACAAGGGATGACGGAAAGAACGGCAGCGAGGCTTGGAGGACGACATGAGAGAACTGGAGGGTGGGTGGACGACAGCGGCGGGACATCGAATGTTCTGATTTCTACTGAATAATGCTGACATTCATATTCTGAATAATACTCATCACTCAAATCCTAAACCATACTCATCACTCACATCCTGGATGATGCTGAACACTTCTTTCACGGCCAGCGGAATGACACCGGGGGACTTCTGGTCGCCCTGCGCGCATCAGCGCACGCACGCGGAGGGGAAGCACAGGGTAGGACGGGGTGGACAATGAGTGAGACAGGGGTAGGAGGAGGAACTATGTGTGACGCGCAGTCATTCGCATGCATGCTGTGCATTCCACTCATACGCATTCTGTGCGTTCCACTCATATGGATGCTGTGCGTTTCCCCATCGTGCATGCTCTGCGTTCTGCTCACATACATGCTGCGCTTACTACTCACACGTATGCTGCGATTCTATTCACACGCATTCTGCACTTTCTACTCACGTGCATGCTGTGCGTTTTCCCGCTGCTCGTGACGCCGTACGCGAAGACCGTTCCTGGAGGGAGAATGCACAGTCGAACAAGACCAGACACGCACGCACACACACAGTATAAGAGGGTGAATGACCTGTGTGGCGCCGTGCGGCGTGCTGATGATTCCGTCTCAGCCGTCCATCGTTATTGCTCACCGTTTCGGCATTATCTCTTACCGTTGATTCCTTCCATCGCTGAAGATACGACGGGCTGCGCTGCGACGTCATACACCCCCCGCGTCGTTGTAGCGGGCCCAAACACCTTGTCTGCACGCACAGAAAGGTGGGGGAGGGGTATGGGAGAAGGAGGCGAGTCAGAGTGACGAGACGGAGGAATGTGAGTGGGACAACCGGAGTGGCATTATGTCGAGAGGTTAAAATGCCCTGGCGGAAAGACCTGCTGTCGTGGCGGGGGAAATCACTAGCTACGGAGTCTTAGCTCATGCCTATTATGTGCTGTCTTGAGACTTTCACCTTTGAGCATGAGAAGGTGCGATACGTGCTGAAGCTACTAAGGGACTAACCGTAAGCATAGGCGATGGCGGGGTTCGACTCCATGCGCACGATCTTGTCGCCGTCGGCGTACCACCCGACGTCCTCTCCACGTTGAATTTCTCTCAAGCTGCCACCACCACACCATCACCCAGCCCCAACAGTTAGTCCCCCATGAGATTCTACCATGTCCGACCGGCTCAGGAAACGCGTACGACTATTTCTACGCTGCGAGTCTGAGGACAAACCTGAGCGGGCGGAACCGGACGGTGACTAGAACGTTCTCGTTCTCCAGAGGGTTGGCCACCACCGCCATCTCGGGCACCAGCATTGGGTGTTGCTGGGTGGACGGCGCGAACGACACCTGTCGCGGCTGGGGCTGCGCGTGAACACGTGGCCCTGTCATGGCACCCCCACGCACCGAATGGCTGCTAGGGCTCGGACTCGAAGCGCGGGCCATTATCGGCTTAAGTCCTGACTGACTACCGGGAGGCGGGCCGGGTGCCGGTGCGTGACTCGTCGGCTGCCTAGACGGCCTAAACGCTGACAGGAGATTCGGAGTGCCGGTTGTGTGGCGGCTCGCTGACTCGTTAGAGGTGCCTGATGACGTGGCCTCATCTTCCGGCACTACGGGAGATGCGAATCCTGGCAGAGGCAACTTGGAACCCGCATAGTTGACTCTCCGCTTGGAGGTACTGCTACTGGGACTCGGAGGCGCCTTCTTACTCGGACTGAAGGAGAACCTCCTCACTAGTTTACTGTCCATCATCTTGGCACTCGCCGATCAATCAGCCACAATATGAACGGTTTAGAACGAGGTCATGCCGTCGGAAAGTTACTCGACCATTAACTTCAGAGCTGTACGACTGGGATTTTAGTAAGACGTCGTGGGTGTTCCTAAAGTGATGTGCATCAATTAGAGCGCCAGAAAATATCCTTCTTGTCGTCTTTCGTGAGGTTCCGCACAAGCTCTTCGATTGTTACACCCGCGCAAGAAGTAAGTCGATCGCAAGCTAGCAACGTAAATCTGTTACAATTGAGCGAGAATGGACGTGATGTGGAGAGATGCTGGACCCTAGTGCCAGAGAGTGAGACTCTTTGGGGTCAGAAGCTGCATGCAGCAAGGATCCGCCTCTCATGCCTTAGCTATTGAGGAACGCAGCAGTGTCGCCGTTGGCTCCACTATCCCAGTATGGCTTCCATGCAACTTTTGAGAGGCGGGAAAGCAATGCCGAACAAGCCGCTATGAAGCCTTGGTCCTTGTGGTACAACTTCCGAGTTTGACCCTGCCTGCACCACCAACTTCCAGGTATGTACCGTTGCGTTGCGATTCGAGCGGGTTTTGCTTCTGACAGGCGATGCGATCAAGCCAATCAAAGGAAAGCTGACGGCTTTCCCATCAGCGTGCAGCAACAGTTGATGCTTCTGGAAACTGTTAGAAGCGGCCTCGTTATATGTATGAGAGCTATCAAGGCACACATAGATGTAACTATACATTATATCATTTGCGGCAAATGTTCAGCCTCTCCTTATTCAAGACATTTGATATAGTAAGTTCTTTAACAATAATACTATGAACAATCTCAATCATCTGTTTTATTCTCCATTCTATATGTTATGAGTTGATGAAACTTCAGAAAGAGGATGAGGAAGGATTACCGTATATGAAGAACATGTTCAATGTAGTACCTTCTCTGTATTCGTACTTTCTGTTCTACAATTGAGCGTTCTTCAAGTCGTGCATTTCCCCTCTGCTGGCGTCGCCTGCGGGGTCAGAGCGGACGTGACAGAGACATCCGTGAGCCCTATTGGTGGCGACTAGTTTCCATCCTCCCAAGCACACGGGCTGAGTGGGGTGTCGAACGAAACCCCGTGTCAGCTTGCTGACGCGCCTTGACGAGAACGCCTTTGGCGGGGCACTCGCGTCGCAGTCAATTCGGCTGCTCTGCTCCTCTGCGCTGGAAGGGAGCCCCCCGACACACAGACATTCGCCTCGCCTCCGCTCGATTACAGCCGAGCCGCGCATTGAAGTCCCTGCCATACTGAGATTTCTTCACCATTCCCAACCCTTGCGCGTTCCCTTGGCACGGTGGCTTCACATAGCTTCCCCCTGCTTGGTACTGGAGCGCATCACAAGGCATAAGGCGACGCACCTAGTGGCATCGATCCATCCATCAGTCGCGTGTCGACGGCTGCATTCACTTTGTTGTCACTCGGGGGGATAGAATTTGACGCACAGGAAATCGAAAATTAGGCTGGTGTTCTTTCACCTGCTTCTCTCCCTAGTTTCGCTCGGGAGTACCGATTGAGCTAGACCGTATCACAACAACGAATCATCAGATAGCCGTAAGCAATGACAGCCATGGCAACTAGTTTACGATGGACCCTGGGAGTATGCCTAATCTTATCTGCCTTAGCGCTCGTGGCGTGCAAGCCGCCGCCGCGGCCGGTGCAGGTGAACAACCAGATCTGGATCAAGGGCTTCGGACCCATACAGGGCACGGGGTGCCCCGGCTTCACCAACGTCTCCGCCTTCTACGGCGTGCCTTACGCTCTGCCGCCCACTGGCAAGCTGCGGTTCGCGGCGCCCGTGTTGTGGGACAAGCCGTACCCGTTCCCCTACAGACGCGCCGACACGCCCCCTGCCAAGTGCCCGCAGCCGTACCGCGCGGTCACTGACAACATCAGAGAGGTCAGTGCGATGCGACCGAGGCGTGCTATACAAGGGCGATCATGGGGTCGCTGGGAGCTTGCAGTTTATGACTCGGTGTTTATGGTGTAATCTGCGGTCATGATTGCCTCTCATGATGGCCGTCCGACTGCTAGCCTTGAGGAATATCTGCTCGGTCCTCCGACCAAATGCTTTATGTTGACTCGCATCCCCGTCACCCCTGTCCACCGCTGTGCACCGCAGGACTGTCTGTATATGAACATCTTCACGCCGGCGAACGCGACGGCGAGCAGCACGGCGGTGCGCGTGCTGTTCCACGGCGGGTGGTTCTACAAGGGGTCGGCGTCCGACGACTTCGTCAACGGCTGCCAGTCCGTCGCCGAGACCAACACCACGCTCGTCATCGTGCAGTACCGGCTCGGCGCGCTCGGCTTCCTCGCGCACCCCTCCACCTTCTCCGAAGGCGAAACCACTGGCAACTGGGGTGAGCCCTCCTCCGCCTCCCCCAGACCTCACTCATCTCCCCCCCGTTCCACCCCTCGCCTACATGAACCGCTCCACCCCTCGCCTACATGAACCGCTCCGTGTCCCCCCTCGCCATTCCGGCCTAGTCGTTGAAGCAAGTCAAGCCGTCCGCATCGGACTTACCTTCCGAAGTGTTTGTTCTATCCCTCCCCCCCCCCGTCCTATGTCGCGGCGTGCGTGCAGGGTTGTTGGACCAGCAGCTGGCGCTCAAGTGGATATCCAAGTATATCGGGTACTTCGGCGGCAACTCGTCCGTGCAGATCATGGGCCACAACGCAGGTGCGCGCCGCCGGGTCGTGGGGCGGCAGGGATGGGGGCTTGTACCGCAATTGGGCAGGACGGATGGAAGAGGCTGATGATTAGCCACGCGCGAAGCGAACGCTCGCGGGTAACTCGTGCTTGCACATCGTGGGTCGCAACGGAATGCGTATGACGCAGGTGGCGCGGGGCGGAGGGAAGGAATCGGAGGCTTAGGATACAGAATGTATACGGCGAGGACAAACAGCGACGACCGCGGGTGTCACACCGCCCGGCAGCGCTGTCCCAGTCTGATCCATGTCGCACCGCCCGGCAGCGCTGTCACCAGTGCGCGTGCGCTCTCCCATCCACTCGCGGCTCACCTCTTGGTGCTCCTCTTGTGTGCCCGTGTGTGCCCATGTGTGTGCTTGGTTGGTTGTGGTTGCGACAGGCGCGGTGAGCGTGATGCTGCACATGGTGAGCCCGCTCTCAAAGGACCTCTTCACTTCCGCCGTCGCCTCTAACGGCGCCGCCATCCCGCTCTTCACGCAGAACAGGGTGAGCCGCCGTCGCTTCTTTGCGCGCTCATTGTCGGTCAGCTGCCCTGCTCTCGTCGCCCCCCTCGTCTTCGCGCTCACGCATGACCCCGGCCCCCGTTCATGCCTCACCTCTCCCCTTTTGTGCCTCCATTCCGCGTTCCCCCGTTGCCCCACGGCCAGGCGTACGACTCGACCTACACGCTCGCCGAGGCGCTCAACTGCCCCCTCGACCCCGAGACGCAGCTCGAGTGCCTGCGACAGGTCAGTCCTGCGACAGCCTGCTACACTCCATCGCATTTCAATCGCACTCTCATCCTCCCCACTACCACTCGCCGACATTCAGCCCCGCTCCCCACCCTACCACTCCCGCCACCCTCCCCCCTTTATCCCGCTCACTTCCGTCCCTCCCACTTTCTCCCGGCGTCCCCGTGTGCAGGCGCGGTGGCAGGACATAGTAGCAAAGACGCCGGTGGTGAAGGACATATACCGGCAGCAGCGCCGCATCTTCTACCCGTGCATCGACGGCAAGGTGATCCCGCAGCAGCCGCTCGACATGATGTCCAACGGGCAGCTCAACCCCGCGCCGCTGATGATGGTGACGAACAAGGACGAGGGGCGGCTGTACGTGCTCGAGTCGTTCGGCAAGTGGTGGCAGATGAACGAGACGAGCGTCAAGACGTTCCTGGCGAACGTGTACCCGGGCGTCGACCCCGCGCAGATCATCCAGCACTACTGGATCAAACTCTACGACAGTGAGCCCCTGCTCCCCGCGCCCTCCGCTTCTCGCGCTCCCCGTACCTAGCATCCCCTTGCTCTGCGCGCCCGCCTTGCTCCCTTCTCCTCGCTGTTCCCCCACTAACCCCACCCGCCCCCTTGCTCTTCTCTTTCCATAATTTTTCTCCCCTTCCGTGGAGCGCAGGCGTGCTAGAGCAGTACGCGGACATGTGGACGGACATCTACATCAACTGCCCCGCCTACAAGACGCTCGTCGCGCTCTCCGCCTACCAGTTCCCGCCCTTCGACGAGTGCGCGTACCCGTCCCCGTTCTACATGGGGTACGGCGCGCCCTGCAAGCTGCCCCTGCACCTCTACTACTTCGCCGTGCGCTCGCCGTGCCCCGCGGCGTCCAAGTTCCTGGGCGCCACCAGCAAGCGCGACCTGCCCTACCTCTTCAACCTCGAGGCCGCACAAACTGGCTGCTCCTTTGACAAGGTACCACTTGCGCCCACCGCCACCACCACGGCCACGGCCACCACCACGGCCACCGCCACCGCCACCGCCACCGCCACCGCCACCGCCACCGCCACCGCGTGTGCACAATCTCGCAGCTCTTTGTTCATTCCTCCTGGCTGCGCCCTCGCCACCTGTTGTCTTGCCCTTTCTGCCTATCTCCCTCTGCAAACTCCTAGTCCCACCACACCACTCACCACACCACTCCTTCCTCTTCCCGACTCACCACACCACTCCTACCTCTTCCCGACTCCCCCTTGGTGCAGAACGAGACGGCACTGGCGTACGACACAACATACGCCACGGGCACCATGGCCAACGTGGGCAAGCCAATGTTTGCCAACAACACGCCGTGGGTCTACTGGACGCCCGACGGCCAGACCGCCATGGTGGCCGACCGCTCCATGGGCTACCTGGGCTACAAGACCATCGACTTCGCGTCCAAATGCGCTGTATATGACAATCTGGTCCGCCCGCCGCCTGCCAGCCCTAAGATTCCGCGCCTTTCCCCTGGATTTGGGCCTGTGATCCCCGGCTATCCCCTTGGGATTGCCGGGTCGCTGCCCTCGCCGCCACCCCCGCCTGTGCAAACGGGAAAGAAGAGTGGGGCGCGGTTGAGAGGGGTTGGGGTGGGGTCGATGGTGGTTGGGCTGGTGGTTTCTGCGGTGCTGATGTTGATAGCGTGCTGATGGGATGGTGCTGATGGTGTTGCTGAGACATGGTAGGGATGCCGGAAGAGGAAGCTTGGTTAGTAGAGAGCCAAATTTTCCGACAGAAGATTGATGGGTGTAGAGAGTAGAGCAAAGGGTTGCTTGCCTGACAGCTCAGCTGATGGGCTCTTGTTGATTAGGTTTTGCAAGCTATGGTATGTGTCTTGCTAGGCTTTGAATGATGAGGTTGCTTGAACAACCTGCTATTTTATTAGTAATAATGGCTATGTTCCAATCCAAGGACTTTAGCAATGAAAAGCCCTTGACAAGCAACTGGTGCTGGAATGGGCAGCAGAGTGATGTGGATGCATGGTTCTGGGGAAGGAAACTTGGCTTGGCTGGTAGGTGCATGGTGGAACAGCAACAGGTTGCTTTGATGTGAATGGTGATGTTTCTTCAACAGCATGTTGAACGGTAAGTGAATGCACTTTGTTTCCCTCCTCAGGTTTTACACAGTTCCCTCCCCACCCCATCCTGTGTCACCACAATAACATTGGCTGATAATTGGTGGTAGAACCTAATACCGTAAATGCAAGGGGGGTTAACCATAACGAGGTGTTACGAACCCCTGCAACAGCCATAAGATACACAGCAGCCTTCCGAGCCACTACTGTTATAATGAATCTCTAGCTTACCTATACTCGTAGAGGGATGCTTGCCTGGCTGTTATACTTCACTTGCTTCTACCGTCTAGCTCACCCTCCCAGTTACCGTTGATGAAGCTCCCTGACAGAAGAACATCCTCTACACTTTAGTGGGTCAGCTTCTGAAGGGGACAACTCGGGGCAGATTGCAGGGGACACATTCCGCGCACGCCCTTCCACATCCTGGCACTTAAAGCCCTTCCCACCCTCCACCAGCTGCAGGTTAATATCCGATAACGAGACACCTTTAAAGGGGGCTGCAGGCAGGCCGATGAGGCTACCGGCTTGGGAGATGAGAGAGCCGGAGATGGAAGCAAAGGAGATGTTGGCCACGCGCGGCAGTGCCGACGGGTCAAAGCGGTCATCTGGGTGGCTGCGGCACGTGGGGAGGAATGCGAGTGCTACAGTCACATTCAGCATAGTCACGTTCTCCACAAGCACGTCTCGGATGTACCCTCCCCGCCCGGGCGCGGTGCGCAGGTGGAAGGCAGCGCGCGAGTGGGAGACTGACAGGTGGCGACAGCGAAGCGAGTGCACGCCGCCCGACATCTCGCTGCCGATGGAGAGGGCGGCGGCGAGCGGCGTCTGGATGTGGGAGTGCTGGATGGTGACGGTGTGGGAGGGGCGGGCGAACGCCAGCCCGTACTCGTCCCACCCGCTCTTTATGCTGATGCCGCCCCCCCCTGTGGTCACTGTCACGCCCTCTATAAGCACATCCTCACTGGAGTCTGCGAGGGCAGGGAGGCATGGGGTGGAGTGGTGTTATGGAGAAGGAGCGGAGTCGTGAGGATGCATTGGCATGCACTGATTTGGACATAAGATCATGTCGGGTGCTGCGAGATGGTTCGCGAGGAGATGACAACCCCAAACTCATGAAAGGTCGATCGGAAGGAGAGGTGGTGGGAGCAGGATATTGGGAGATTACCGATGACAATCCCGATGGTGTTGGGTGAGTCAGGAGGCGCGGTGATAGTCACGTTGAACACCTGCACGTGACTGCAAGCCATAACACACACACACACGGGCACATATGTGGTGTGAGGGGTGAGGGCGGAGAGAATAGAGACTGGCACAGCCCTGGTAAGGGCAGAAGGGCACAAGAGCACAAGAGCGCAACAGCAAAAACAAGCAGAGAGTGTTGCAAAAGGGCACGGACGTGCAGTAGACGGGGTGCAGTGCCCAGGCAGGGGCATTAGCGAGAGTGACATTGGCGACGGTGACAGCAGAGCTCCACAGCGCCTCCACCACCGCCCCCCTCGAGTGCTGCAGCACCCCCCCGCGCTTCCTCTCCCACCACGCTGCCCCTCCCCCGTCGATCACCCCGTGGTCGCCTGCTCGGGTGGGGTAGGGGAGAGGTCAGAGCGCGGTGGGGGAGGGGGGAAGGTCAGAGCTGTAGCAAGCGGTGAGTAGGCCCCGCTACAGCCGTACACATGCACGGGGGCACACACGCACGCACCGGTGATAACGACGTCGGTGAGGTTATGGTAGTGCAGCAGACTGCTGTAGCACGCGGAGAGCTGTAGCACACAGTGAGCTGTAGCACGCGGTGAGCTGTAGCACGCGGTGAGCCGTAGCACGCGGTGAGCTGTAGCACGCGGTGATCAGGCTGCGCTACAGCCGTGTGCTGCACGCGCACACACGCACCGGTGATGACGACGTCTGTGAGGTTGTGGCAGTGCAGCAGACTGCTGTAGCGCGGCCCGGGCATCTCCCTGCCGCGCCCGTACGATGGCAGCGCTGGTATCACCGGCCATAGTGATGGGTCCTGTAGACATGTAGGCAGGGAGGCATGCACCCATGCAACCATGGAAGCATGCAGTCATGGAGGGAAGGGTGATGAGGAGGGTAGAAGGAGGCATGGAGCGGAGGACGGACACTGCATTGTGGTTGCCACAACGCCCACGGAACCAGCCAACAACCGCCGCTTGCGCCCCATGTGCCTTCTCTGCGCGCCTGCGAGCCTCCCCACACGCAGCGCAAGCAACTCCCCCCGCCCGCCAACCCCCCCTCCCCCGCCCGCCGTCGCCCGTGCGTACCGGGTTGCCGCGGATGGTGGCGCCGCGCGCGAGGAAGAGCGTCATGGCGGAGGTGAGGTTCACGCTGCCCGTCACGTACACGCCGGGCGGCACGTACAGCTGTCCGCCGCCCTTGTCCGCCACGCCGCTGACGGCGTACACGGCGTTCTGCAGCGCGCGCGTGTTGTCCGTCGCGCCGTCGCCCACGCCGCCGAAGTCCGCCAGGTCGAACACGTGCGGCCGGTTCGGCCACTGCGGCCTGTTGCCGCCGCTTACGCCGCTCCTGTCGCTGCTGCTAACGCCGCTCCTGCCGCTGCTGCTAACGCTGCTCTTTCCGCTACCGCGGGGATCGCTCCTGCTGTTACCGTGAAACACGCCGCTGGTGTCGTCCAATGCACTCGCGTGAGACGCGCGTTCTGCGGCGTTAGAAACTTTCGTCGCAACGCCGCGCAGCGGCAGCGAGAGCGCGGCGACATCGCGATCCGGGTCGAGCAGTTGCTTCGTCTGCCAGCCGCCACTGCCCGCACTGCGCGGCTCTAAGTCGCCCGCATCGGCTGTCAGTGTCTCTATATCGGTGCCTACGGCCGCGTGAACGCTGAGAGGATCAAGGGTTAATGCGATCAGAAATGCTACATGCGCCACGGAGGTTAGAGTCAGTCGATTTCGGGGGACAGGTGGACGCGACGCCATCAGTACACAAGGCGGGATATTAACTAAGATCGGACTCGAGCCGAACGGCTTACGTCGTACTAATCGACCACGTGTCCCAACGCCACGTCATTCAGGCCGCGCGAGCAAACAGCGAAGAGCATGTCGGTAGCCCGCTGCGTGCAGTGCGGCGCGGAAAAAAAAATATATATATATATATATATAGGCAGGTCGAGAAACGCACTACAGTTTACGATGAATGTGCTGCGTCAATAAAAGCGAGGCGCCGAGAGTCTAGGGAACTCCAATCCGCAAATGGCTCAAGATAACCCCATGATCTGGGAGGCAGGGAATACAAGCGGCGACACCCTGGAAAGCTCCCAAGGGAGAAAGGCTGGAGGGAGCAGAGCAGGTGACAGGCAGGCAGGCGGAGGGTGTGAGGTGAGGATCGAACAAGCACGTGGTCGGAGGGAAAGGCCCAGCCGACAAGGCGAACGGGGCGAAACGGAAACCACTGTAACGAAACGAGGTGCCAAGGAGGAAAGCTCAGCGTGCTAACGAACTCTGACGAACACGAGCAATAAAGCATTACACCAAATTGTAGCATGGTTACAGAAATAACACTACTTACAAGCTAATAAAGTGGTACAGTTGTGGATTGATTTCAACAAATACCTCAGCTGGAAGATGAAGGACCAATAGAAACAGTATTGCTCACTACAGAAATTGCATGTCGTAAAACATATCTATATTGTAAACAGGGCCATATCCAGCTGCCCTCCTTACAAACATGAGTAGATTGCACAGGAAATTATTCCTCGCTTGCCCCAACCTAGTTTCGACCCCAACCCCCAACCTTGCCCCTTGCGAGCCGTAACCTGGGCATCCCAACCCCAACCATCCACCAACCAACTATCCACGAACTTGCCCTCAACCTACCCTGGGGTTTCAACCCTTATCTACCGCCCCTCGCTCACCATACTCTTCTGGTTTTACCAACCTCCCCGACCTCAATTACCACCACCGCCAGCACCACCGCACAACAGCCCAGCATCCTACCAACCCAAACCACCCACCACCCATCAACCAACCTCTTCACAACAAACAACCCATCTAGCCACCCATACACCCTCTCACCCATCCCTAATAGCCCAGCACCTGCCCACCCCAAACCCCCCACTGACCAAAAACCAACCTGCCCCAACCACCTCAACCACCCAGCTCACCCACCCTCCCCTCTGCTGACTCACCCACCCCAACGACCCACCACCCCCAAGTCACAGCCCACCCACCTACCCGCTCACCCTAAACCCAGCTGCAACCCACCACCCCGTCACCGCCCACCTAGCCACCCTAGGGATTTTAGCCGTTTGCCCTTTCACTCACTCATGCAAGGGGTTTCAGCCCCTTTCCCTCTCACTCACCCACACAAGGGGATTCAGCCCCTTTCCCTCTCAGTCACCCAACCCAAGCGGTTTCAGCCCCTTCTCTTCTCACTCACCCACCCAAAATGTTTCAGCCCCTTTCCCTATCACTAACCCCACAAGGTTTCATCCCCGTTTCCTCCCACCCACACAAGGGGTTTCAACCCCCTTTCCTCACTCACCCACCCAGGGGGTTTCATTGCCTTTCCCTCTCACTCACCCACCCAAGAAATTTCAGCCAACTTTACTCACACATCTAATGCGTTTCATCCCCCTTCCCTCTCACTCGCCCACCTACAAAGGTTTTCATCCCGCTACTCTTTCACAAACCCACCTAGGGGTTTCACCTTCCCTTCCCTCTCACTCACCAACCCAGGGAAATTCAGCCATTCCCACCCACCCATCCAAGACATTTCAACTTCCCTCCCTCTCACTCACCCACTCAAGGCGTTTCAGCCCCTTCCCCTCTCACTCACACCCCTTTCCCTGTAACTCACCCACCCCAAGGGATTTCAGGCCCTTTCCATCACACTGAAGCAACCAATGGGTTTCAGTCCCTTCCCCTCTAACTCATCCACACGAAGAGTTTCAACACCTTCCCCTCTCACTCACCCACCCAAGGGTTTCACCCCCCTTCCCTCTCACTCTCCCACCCGAGCGTTTTACCCCCCCTCTCGCTCTCCCACCCATCCAAGGAGATTCACCCCCTTCTCCCTCCCACCCAACCCAACCCAAGGGGTTTCTGCCCCCTTCCCTCTCACTCACCCACTCAAGATGATTCAGCACCTTTCCATCTCACTCACCCACCCAAGGGGGTTCACCCCCCTTTCCCTCTCACCCACCCGACCTAACCAAAGGGATTTTTGCCCCCTTCCCTCTCACCCAAGGGGGTTTCAGCCCCACTCACCCACCCAAGCGTGGTTTCAGCCCCCACTCTCCCACCCAAGGGGTTTCATCCCCCACCCTCCCACCCAAGGGGTTTCATCCCCCACTCTCCCACCCAAGGGTTTTCAGTCCCCACTATCCAACCCAAGGGGTTTCAGCCCCCACTCTCCCACCCAAGGGGTTTCAACCCCCCCTCTCCCACCCAAGGGGTTTCATCCCCCGCTCTCCCACCCAAGGGGTTTCAGGACCCACTCTCCCACCCAAGGAGTTTCAGTCCCCACTCTCCCACCCAAGGGGTTTCAGTCCCCACTCTCCCACCCAAGGGGTTTCAGCCCCCACTCTCCCACCCAAGGGGTTTCAGTCCCCACTCTCCAACCCAAGGGGTTTCAGCCCTCACTCTCCCCCCCCTATACCCAGCCCCTCCCCACCATTACCTGCCAGCAGTAGGAGCGACAGACAGCCCATTGCCTCGGGGAAACAGCACCCCAGGGGCTGTGCCTTGTGGGGCGAAGTGAAGTAGTGTAAAATTGCTTCCAGCCCAAGACTCAGATCCCACCCTTGACGTAGCCAGAGCTGACGCGAACCAGAGCCGCCGGCCGGTCGGCTCTGACGGTGTCCATTAGGCCTTGCGCGTCAGATCAGGAACCTGAGCACCGAGTGCGGTGCCGCGCAGATTCCACCCACCTCACCCCACCCACAAGTCACAACCTCAGAGGATGCTGCCCCTAAGACAGAAAGCTGCCCGCTGCTCCCATGCTCCCCCCCCACCCCACACATCACCCCCATGCATCCTTACCTGTACTTACCACAGCCGTGCAGAGCGCCATGATGCCGCTGGTAAGTGGGGAGAGGGGGGGTTAGTGGGGGGGGGGACTCCTCTGTGGTCCAGGCAGGGTGCTGCTGGGAGGGACGGGAGAAGGGAGAGAGGAAAGAGAAGGAGGTGAGTAAGCGGGTCGACTCCACTCTCCGCCCTTGCTCCAGTACTTCCACCCTCAGCCTGCAGGAGAGAAAGGGGGTGAGAAAGAAAGGGGAGGGAATCAGATCACCACACCTCACCTGGTACCATACCAAACCGTTTACCACACCTCGCTCACTCACACCATTCCTATCCTAGCCTCCTCTCCAGCCCCCCACCCCCCACTGCTGCTTCGCTGCTGCTCCGCTTCTGCTTCTGCTGCTGCAACCGCTGCTGCCGGTCTGCTACTCTGCTTCCTCTGCTGCACTCTTCACTTGATCCCAAGTGACCTGGTGGCGGGAAGAAAAAGGGGGGAAGAAGACAGGAGGGGCAGGGCAGGAGGTTAGTGAACAGAAACAGTAAAGTCAACAAAAAACAAATAAGCTGACAAACACAAGAAGGGCACAATGCAGAGAGAACTGCAGCAACAAATGCGCTCGAAAGAAAGCGATGAGGCCAAGGAGGGAGGTAACGCATCTTGAGTGGCCAGCCCACCCCATACTCTCCCTCGGGGCACCAACTTCAAGCTGCTGCAGTGCTGCCTTCCTCCCGTCCCCGCAGGTACCTGCACGGCCACAGGGGAGGGGTGTGGGGAAGCGTTGGTGTTGACCCCAGCGCCCCTCCCCTCCACCTGCAATGCACACACACGGCAGTGGTCAGTATGCATGTAATGACCGCAAGCACAAGACAAGCCACAGACTGGAAACTGCCGAGTCTGGAAGAGGAAGGGAGGGCCACTGGTTGAGGCAAGGCCACACGCCACAGACCCCAAAGTCTGAACCTGGAGGGTGTACCTGCACCTAGAAGGTGTACCTGCACCTAGAAGGTGTACCTGCAC